CAGGTCTCTTATGCGTCTTCGTGTGCGCAGAATTATGCATAACATAAGTCCGATCAGGGAGAGGAATTCTATCTCTTCGTCAGCCATGTTTGACTGACTGGCTTTGTTTGGGTAAATGACGCATGTACACCCGCCACACTATGTTTACGCAATATCCAAGTTCCCGGATCTTGTTCCGGCAAGATCCGGCTCAAATTAAACCCTGAGGGTCACCCATAAAGACAGTGGGACGGTTAACTCAGAAGACTTAGTTGTTCGTCCTTTTATCAAAACTTACTTTGAGCCTGAGAGGGTTAAATTTCAGACACTAAAAATGTATTTCTTTAAATGTTTTCATTTCGTTGGGCAATGATGAAACACCAGTTCTTTTCCTTTCAGATTTTTTTTCTCTTTCATTCCAACACCATTACTGATTAATTCAGTTTAGCATTGAAATGCCATGGGCTTGATATCTAAACAGTGCTGATAGAAATAAAAAATAACATGCATTTACCCATGCAGAGACTTTAATGGCTCATTGATTTTTGAAATAAATAAATAAATAGAAACCAGAGCTAATGTTTTTTTCTCCTGGTGGCTGTGGCGAGTTTGGAACGGTGTCACTGTGTTGAATATTCATTTACATTTCTTTGCAGTTAGTTTATTGTGACGGTGACAACCCAGACGTAAAAAGGTGAAGGAGGGCACAACATAGAGGAGACGTGTGTGAGTATGTCAGAATTAACAAAGAGTTTATTGTGGTGCATCGTGGAAGTGGTGCTAAGTACAAACACAAAACAGATAACAGCTCTGGGATGAATAGACAACAAATACTGCAAAACCCGGGGAGCTCAATTAGCTGTTAAACTGTCATTTCCACCAAACGACCACACTGCCTCTGCACGAATATCAAACTGTCTCTCTGACATATCAAAATGGATGAAATCCCACCATCTCCAACTCAACCTCACTAAAATTGAACTACTTGTCATCCCAGCAAAACCATCCATACAGCACAATATCTCAATCCAAAATGACTTCCTATCTCTGGCTCCTTCAAAGGCAGTTGGAAATCTGGGTGTTGTGATTGATGAACACCTGAAATTTAAAGATCATGTTGCCTCTGTTGCTCGTTCATGACGCTTTGCGCTGTATAACAAACGAAAGATCAGACCATGCCTAACACAACATGCCACCCAGCTCCTGGTGCAATCTACTGTCATCTTCCGCCTCGATTACTGCAATGCCCTTCTAACTGGTCTTCCAGGCTGTACTGTTAGACCTCTTCAAATGGTCCAGAAGGCAGTGGCGCGTCTGGTCTTCAATCAGCCAAAAAGAGCACACGTCACCCCTCTGTTCATTGAGCTCCACTGGCTACCGCTAGCAGCACGCATCAAATTCAAATTGCTAACACTAGCATACAAAGTCCGAGACGGTACGGCTCCCATCTACCTGAATCATCTTGCAAAGGCTTACATCTCTGCCCGGGCACTCCGGTCATCACAGGATCATCGGCTAGCAGTGCCTACACCACGCTCAGGACAATCCAGACTCTTCTCATGCATCGTTCCACAAATGTGGAATGACCTACCAAGCACTACCAGAACAGGGGCTTCCTTTTCAATTTTCAACAAACTCCTGAAGACCCTGCACTTCAGAGAGCATCTTCTAAACTAGCACCCTCCCTGCACCCGTCCCCCATCTCTACCGTCCACTCCTTGTTCCCTACTCTCCATGATTGATGTCAAGTTGTTGTTATTGTTGTTGTTAGCCTCAAGGGCAACATGCCCTTATCACTTGTAAGTAGCTTTGGACAAAACCATCTGCTAAGTACATAAACATAAACTGAAAAGAGTGGATCGACGCTCCACTTGACCTAAAACAGAAGGTGATTCTACACAGTAGCACTCTCCAACAGGGCCGTGCAGATAACTTTGGCGGTTCAGGTGCTCAAAGTTAAAACAAGGGCACATCTATGAACAAGATTTTTAAGCAGAGTCACGATCCAACACGTTTGTGAAAATTAACATAATCAGAGACCATTGAGTAATAACGGACTGTCTTGTTTGTGGGGATGTTCTGACCACATATTTTGCTAACAACCCACATTCATCTAGAGTCTGATATGGAATCACGCTGTTCATCATTGTAGATTCCACCTTCTCTCCTTAAGCCGGGTGTGCACTGTGCAGCTTTTTCACTCCTAGCATTTAGCTCCATCTCAAACTGTAGGACTTCCTCTCAGACGAAGTTAACAAGACATGTTCTCACACTGTACGACCCGATGCTCGGATCCGACCTGACTGAAGACACCGTACGTGTGGTAGCAACACGTCAGACCTTTCAGTCCAAAAATCCAGAGGCTGTTGTGTTGTTATTGATGTCTGTTGTCCTTTGGACTTGCTGTAGGACGACACAGAAGAAGGAAGATGAGAGAAAGGAGGTAAACAGGGTTTTGGGTCAGTTTTGGAAGGTCTTATAGGCTTGATACACGGGAGGCGACATCGCCTGTCCTCCAGTCATCTTCAATGAGACATGCGCGACGAAGCGATAATCGCGGGTTACCCTCCTAATAAGTGAAACGCAAAAAACATGCGTGTGAAATTTTGCGCTCGTACACGTGTCGTGCACAGGCGACCCAGCGACACGATCCCAGAAAGTTGAACTATTTTCAACTTTTCATCGCTGTCGCTCGGACGAGGACCAATCAACGGAGGTTTGTTTCATTCACTGGCCAATGAGTGGACAGGATGCTCCGTACATCTTCGAGCAAACGTGGAGGAGAAGTTGATCCTTGCTGTGACGGATTTCCAAGAACTGTACAATATTTCTACCAAAGAATGGAGAGATATTCACAAAAAGGCCGCGGCGTGGGAAATTGTTGGTGCCAGGATTAACACAAAATTTTTAACTCTGAACAACTTAAATAACCTCAATTCCCTCCAACCTGACACAGCCAATCAAAACAACGGAAGATTCAATTTAGCCATGGGAGAGAACGCGTCGACGGCTTTGCCGCTGCCGCGGGTTGCCTCCCGTGTGTCAGGTAATAAAATTGAGAACGACAAATTTCGCTGATTGCGGTCGTTTGCCGCCTCCCGTGTATCGAGCCCATTACTCTGAGTGTAACTGTCCGTGGTGCTGATCAGGAGGGAGCAGGCGCTGTCCGTGGTGCTGTAGAATAAGTTTCACAGCTAGTGTGTGGTCTATGAGTCAACACTGGCTCAGAGAGCACATGGCATAAGGACTCCAGACAGTTGCAACATTTACAACAAATGTTCACAAACCAGTTAAAGGGATGAAGGCAGCCCTGGTGAAAACTGAAGAGGGAGAAAGGCTCAAATCAGCCATGCAGCTGGTTTTTGGGCTTTTGAGGACCCTTAAATAGAAAACCTAAAGGAGCCCACGTTTAGAGTCAGAGTTCCGTATTGGGGTAAAATCTGGAATCTTTTCAGCAAGGAAGCAAAAGATGCGGGGTCAATTATTACATTTAAATTCAGTGCTTATTGGAAATATATCAAAGAAGTTTATTTTGTTTGGGCAGAGCTCAATATGAGTTCTTCTATCTGCTTCTCTTTATTCGTGGGCTATTTTGATCCAGTTTTTCTTTTTTTTCTCCCTTGAATAAAAAACAAACTATCAAATGACAAAAAGCAAAGCATCAATATTAGGATGGAACCGGATGCATCAAGTACTTGGAGTGTTTGGATGTTGTGTGAAGCCGATTGGTTCTGGGTGAAGACGACGCATTAGTGGTTACTGTATGTGATGTCACACATGGTAACATGACTACGTTTACACACGGCTGAAACAAGAGTGGAATCTGAACACGTTGACATTCTTACTATTTCCAAAATAGACTCAGTGAGTTTTGGTGTTTCTCTGGTTAAAATTAAATCAAATAAACGAATAAAAATGCATTCATGTTTCTAATCTAGCACACATCAGCCTTCATGCTCCTGCGCCTCTAGACAATAGATGCACAGCTAGAAAGAGAAACACAAATCAGAAGGTGTCCCATTGCTTTTCCTCCTCACATTGTCATGTGCATGGATACAGGTGGCCAATAATGTCCTATTAGGCTTTTTGTAATATACCAGAATGTATCAACTGTGAATAGCAGCTGCTAAGCAAAGCGGAAATTGAATGCTCTGCTCATCAGTCAATGTTTGGCCATATGGCTTATCATATGGCATATCAAATCATTCTTTTTATGGATTCAGTATTTGGAATCCAAGCAGAATATCTCATTTCCTTGCATTCACATACACATTAACACCCTCTTCTAATGAAAACATGGGATTTTAAATGTGATATCAATAGTATAGTTGACACATTTAAATGTTTTATTTTTTTATTTTTCCATTTTAATTTGTCTTTTGGGACAACCTGGAGGTTTTTTGCACCCTTGCAGCAAAACTCTGGAGCATCTGAGCCATTCAGTCTTTTCTGATGGCGCTACTGATCGAGTGGCCCTCATTGTTTTGCTTCATCCGTCACTTTACACCAACTGTCTTCTGACAAGCCTGACCAGGACAAATTACCGAACAAAATACGATGTCCCACGACCCCAGAGAAAGAAAAATGAGATCTGCTCAGGTGCTCCTCACTCTGTCACGGTTCGAAAATGGCCAGCAGTGAAAGAAGATATTTACTTGCAAATTAAGTGGAAAAAGGGTCTTTGTGGCAGAAGTCAATTGAAATTTCTTCAATCAGCTGCAAAAAAAAAGGCACAATCGTGCCGAAAAACGAGTGCAGCAAAGTACTCTTAAAGCCATTTAGCAGAATCAAAATGAGCTTACTCTGTTTAAAATTCCTTCCACATTCACAAGTAGAATTGATTATGTAAAAAACTGCTTTATTCTAACAGAACAGAGGAAGCCCTTTACATTACACAAAGAACGCTTCCTTTGACTCCTCAAGTGAATGGACTCTTTTTTTTTTTTAGAGGAGCCGGTTTTTCTGCACGGGGATCATTTCTAATTGAGGTTTTTGTTGTTGTTGTTGTTTTTGTTGCCCAGGTGACAGAAACCCGAACAGGCCCTCTTGGGTGTAGTAACTATGACAACCTGGACTCGGTCAGTTCGGTGCTCGTTCAGAGCCCTGAAAATAAAGTCCAGCTGCAAGGTTTGTGTGGAGTTCACATCTTCTTTTACTCTTCTCACGATTTGTTTTTTGGAGATAAAAGATCACCTCTTTAAACTTTAAGCACATGAAGCAAAAGGGAGTATCTGTTTGGCATACAAATGTAGATTTATAGGTTTTATTAAGTAAGTTATCAGCCCCACCAACACCGTATTGCCTCTATACCTTCACTGTCTCTCCCCAAGTGCACGTTTTGATGACAGCAATGAAACTAGCTTGATTTTTACAGGCTTGCAAGTGATCCTCCCAGACTACCTGAGGGAAAGTTTCGTGCAGGCTGCTCTGAGCTACATCGCCTGCAATGGAGAAGGCGAGTTTGTCTGCAAAGACAATGACTGCTGGTGCAACTGTGACCCCAAGTTCCCAGAGTGCAACTGCCCTTATATGGACATCCAAGCGATGGAAGAGAGCCTGGAGCGGATCACGGAGACGTGGGGGATGCTTTATAAGGAGTTTGAAGAATCAGGTACGAAATAAATAAGTACAATTTTTTTTCACATTCCACATGCCATCTTCAGTGCAGCCAAAGTCAGATTTTCATAATACGTCTTTAATAAGAGTGAAGGTTGGAGGTAGGGCTGCACAATATATCGAAAAATTATCGTCATCGCGATAACAGGACGTGCGATAGGCCCATCGCAAAACACGGCAAAAACAGCGATAAATGTGTGGTTCAAACATTTCCATCCGTTTCATACATCCGCTTTTTGTAAACCAGCTCTGTTTTTTACGCGGAAGTATTATTTGACCAATCAAATGTAGTCCTTCTGATATGCGGCCAATCAGATGGTTCCCTTCACGTAATACGCCCGCCCCCTACATAGACCCTTTTGGAAAGCTACACCCGAACTGAGTTAGCGGCGCCGTTCCCTTGTTCGTCATGCTGGCTCAGAGCAACGAACGTTCAAAACTCGCCTTTCTGCGTGGAGTTGCGTGTTCTCCCCATGCATGCGTGGGTTTTCTCCGGGTACTCTGGTTTCCCCCACAGATCACAACATGCCCTATAGGTTAAAAATAAAAAAAATGAAAAAATAAAAAAATTGTAAGTCGCTTTGGGTAAAAGCGTCTGCTAAGCACATAAACAACATTAACATAAACTTTGTGCTGAGGTTTCTGGATTCAGCGCTGCTTTCAAACATGAACGTGATTCCGCTCGGTGTCGTTAATCATTTTTACCGGGCTGACTCCGACACGGCGTCGGTGAACCAACCCACCTTCATGTTGCTAGTGTTAGCCCCAGGCTCCGGTTAGCTTCCAGCTAAAAGGCAACGGCACTCTCCTCCCAGTCCCACCCTGCTAAAGAGGGCCTGGAAAATTTCCCCCACACATCAAAGTGAATTTTCATTTATGAGCTTTTATAACCTTGTTAATCAGGATAGTTGATTTGCTGCTGCACATAAATGGTCAGTCAGAAGCTCTGCTAGCCAGTTGTCTTAGAGGAGCTAGTTCAATTTGTTAGCTTGTTAGCTTGTTATCAGAATCATAGTTGCAGTTTCATCATCTGAGCTGCTTTTTAAGATCTAGATAAACTTGTTCAATTTGGGGTTAAAAACAAACGTTTTCATATATTTTCCATGTAGTTTTTTTGCCAGTTCCTCTTCTGGAAGGTAGACAATTGTTTTTCTCTTTCCCTCAGAAAATCTTAATATTCTCCTAGTTTGGCCCAGCACAGATCACTTCCCAATTACAGCAACAGCCTTATATCATAACCACATAAGTGGAGAAAATGTTCAGTAGCAATGAGAGAATTCGCTGTTGCATTTAAGTGATGTAAACTATAATTTAACATTTAAACTTATTTTCTGATTTTTTTTTTGATTAATTCAGAAAACCCTGGTAAGGGATGTTTTTCTGTATTTGGAGCATCAGAAAAAGTTTTATGGTGGAGGTGATGTTTTAAAGTCACTGAGAAACTGTATGCATGCAGTTTGTTGTTTTGCTGCTAATACAGTAGCAGGTGCAGCTGCTAACACAGTAGCAGGTGCAGCTGCTAATACAGTAGCAGGTGCAGCTGCTAATACAGTAGCAGGTGCAGCTGCATATTTTTGCAATAAAAATGTTATGTTGTAATGGAATTCATGCATTAGTTTTTGTTTGCTTTGAACCCAGAGCAGACGTCACATGCCAGACGACATCAACACTGCATACTTTAGTATTTGTTCATTTATTGCAAGTAATATCGATATCGCAATATTAAGCACTGTTATCGAATATCGCAGGTTTTCCTAATATCGTGCAGCCCTAGTTGGAGGTGAGTTGCACTGACGTACATCTGCCCCTGAGCTGTGAGTCATCGCTGAACTAAGATCCTGGCCTGCTGTCTGCATCTAGCAAATTAACAACACGGCTTAACTGCATTTAAAGATCAAAAAACCTTCATCTTTCAACTCAGGCAGTCTACAATAGGTCTGGAGCAGATTAATCTGCTATAAAATCCAGTTATTGCCAGTCCAGCTCTTCATATCGCCGGGGAAATGGGGATAGAATGGAGGCTCTTAGCACAATGTTTAGTTATTATTGCTGCGCTCGGCCGGTCAGCCTGCCTGGGTGATTATTGCTCAGGTAAAATCAAAATAGTTCTTTCTCTTCGCTTTTTCTCCTTTCCTTTTCAGATTAGCAGCATCCTGTATTGTTACCACACGTAATTATCTATAAAGGTTATGTTTTAATTGGTGGTTGTGAAGTAAGAGCAAGCGTGTGTTCAGACTGCACACACACACACACAGCTTTCATAAATGTGACCTTCTGCGAGACAAAGTCCCAGTCCATTGCGTTACCAGCACCAGCAGATGTCAACCACCACTTACCGATGTGGAGGTCAGGATTTTATTGTTGTTATAGCTACTTATTACATGTAAAGCCTGAAACTTTTAATGTCAGTGAGAATACAGCAATCAACCAATATGCCACATGCTCTTGAGTCGGTACAAAACATGTTCTTACAATCCAAACATGCTTTCTCACATCAAATGGATCTGACAATATCAGTTTATCCTTTTCTCAACCTTATGAAAAGCCTTAGTTTGCAGTTTGTGGAAGATCTTAATTGCTTGAGGTATTTTAGAAACATTTTAATTTCAATTCAATTTTATTTATAAAACCCCAAATCACGACAAGAGTCGTCTCAAGGCACTTCACATAGTAAACATTCCAATTCAGGTCAGTTCATTAAGCCAATCAGAAAAAAAGTTTCCTATATAAGGAACCCAGCAGGTCGCATCAAGTCACTGACTAGTGTCAGTGACTTTACAGCAATCCTCATACTAAGCAAGCATAAAGCGACAGTGGAGAGGAAAACTCCCTTTTAACAGGAAGAAACCTCCAGAGGATCCTGGCTCAGTATAAGCAGCCATCCTCCACGACTCACTGGGGATGGAGAAGACAGAGCAGACACACACACACACACACATGCACGCACACGCACACGCACACACACACACACACACACACACACACACACACACACACACACACACACACACACACACACACACACACACCAAGCAATGTGTCCATGGTTACACCGTGATTGCTTAGTAAATATTCTATTTGGCGAGAGATAAACTTTATTGTATTTATCCTAGTTAATCTATTGTTAAATGGGTAAACTAGTAGTAGTACATCCAACGTCAAGGAAACGAAATGTTATTATGAGGAGAGGGAGAATGTTTAAGTGGTTAGCAGCAGTGTGCTAGACGATGGCCCCCTCCATGAGGCCACCACAGCTCAGCAGAACATCATTGTAGCTTCTTCTGGGGAGAAAAACACTTAGAGAGAAAATAAAGTTAACAGCTGAAGTAGCATGAAATAATAGTTAAAGAGCAGATTGTAGAAGAAAGTAGTAGAGTGTGAAAAGTGGTCAGTGTATCCTCCAGCAGTCTAAGCCTATAGCAGCATAACTACAGAGAATCTCCCTTCAGAATCTTCCCTACTTTACATGCTGAATTATTACTTTTAGTTCTTTCTTGTGCAGTTTGAGATGGACTAAAGCAATTAGCTTTCTTTCTCTACCTTATTTAATACATTTTATACTAAACCAACTAATTAAACCAACAATTGAGTTTCCCGCTTCATCCCCCTACTGGTAGAAAATGGAATTGCAACTGCTGTAGAGCGCTGTAGCTAGCACTAACAGCAAGCTTTGTTTCCATCCAGGGTAGTTCATGGGACGAGGAATTGACCAGGAGATAGGATGTCCCAGTCCCTCTCGGCTGTTGTGTCTCCATTCAAATCCAGGCGTTTCAGATCTTAGCACAGATGCCAGCATATCGCGAATGTGCGAAAATGCTTTGGCAGTGATGTCACTGATCAGCGCCAAAAAGTGCCCACAGTACTACTGTGACAGTAGCATTAATATTATTAAAAGTATTTATTCTATCAAAGTGTATCATGATTTCATCCATTAAGAGGATGAGAGCAGCTGTGTGATGTAAAATGTGGTGTTCAATGACCAGATGAAGTGCCGTTTTTTTTACAGCGCTCTGTGAGACAACAAGCCCCGTGAATGATGTCCGTGGGGGGATTTCTCCGCGTTTTCTGGTGTCAGGAGTTGGATTTTAAATGCGATCGGTTCTTATTACTGCTGGACCTGACTGCAGCCTTTGACACTGCTGACCATCACCTGCCACTGGAGAGGCTGAGAGACGGGTAGGCCTATCAGGATCTTCTCTGGAGTGGTTCTCCTCTTATCTCTCTGAGCGCTCCTTTTCTGTGGCCGTCTCCAAGTTTAGGTCCTCCACCACCTCTCTTACCCATGGTGTCCCACAAAGATCTGTGCTGGGGGCTCTGCTCTTCCTCCTCTATCTGCTTCCTCTTCAGCACATCCTGAGCTCCTTCAAAGGAATCTCCTACCATCTTTATGCAGATGACATCCAGCTGTACACCTCCTTTAAGCCCCATGAGATGTCTAAGCTGCAGCTGTTACACACCTGCTTAGACTCTATCAAAACCTGGATGGTGGGAGCTTTCTTCAGCTGAATGAAGATAAGACTGAGATCCTCATCTGTGCCCCAGACAAGCTGGTTCCCAAAGTCAGACACTCTCTTGGTCAGCTTGCTTCTCACACCAAACCTTCTGTCAGGAATCTTGGCGTGACCTTTGACCCAGCTCTCACCCTGGATTCTCATGTCAGTTCTCTTGTTCGCTCTTGCTTCTTCCATCTCAGGAACATTGCTAAGCTGAATCTCATTCTGTCCTGCTCTGAACTTGAGACAGTTCTCCACACCTTCATCTCCAAACCAATCAGCTTTAGAAGTTCCACTCAGCTACTCCACTGGGCCATTCGCAGTACCTACCCCTGATCAGGATCTGGAAGGTTCTGGAAAACGGCCGTTCAGCCGGCCTGGTCAGATGGTGACAACCGCATGTCTGGAGGTTCTTGTGAATGTACCCTGAAGTTCCGGGAGTGGAAACACAGCTATTGTTAGCACAAGCCACCTGATACTAAGCCATGTGTTACAGCCCAGGCATCTAGGAGACCTGGGCAACACGTAGGACTCACGACACGAGTGATAAAGGTTAACAAAGGTTTTTAATTCATTTTTTTTTCCTTCTTTTTCAAAACAAAAACACAAGTGGCTCTTAGCCCAGCAACAGCCGAGCTCTAAACCACTCAACCACAACACTGAAAAACCACCAGTGATCTTAATCACGCCACAGTTTTTAATATATGACAACAAACAGCAATACCAATCACAGTCCAAGTCCAAGTGGGAGACAACAGGCCGGACGAAAGGCAGCTCTGAACTGTTGCTCCACTGCTGATGTGCTCCAGCAGGTCCTCTGGTGCAGGGTGGAGCCAGGTTGAGCAGACAGGCCCAGTCTAC